CGTCGACCTTGACGACGCCCTCCGGTATTCTACGCCAATCTCGTCATGTTGCTCCTCAAGGTACCACACAGAGGGGCACCTCCAGCAGACAGGGAGTGGACCGGTGGCATCATCCCAACGGGACCATTCGAAACCGTCGGCAAGAACTCCTGCGCCAAGAGGCGGAACAGGGTACTGCTCCAGGCACTTCGTCCTCGGATGAGTCATTCCGCCTTACTGGCACCTCGAACCAATGGGGTGAACCAACCGTGAAAGGGGTGACATTCTATGGACAAGAATTCGATATTCGTTCGGACCCTCCTCCACATGACGCTGACTCGACTACTGCGGGCCAATCTCATGTTGATGATCCTGAGGATAACAGCTCATGGCAGGAAGGACACTCTTCATCGAGCTCTTCAGGTGCCCAAACAGTCGGCTTCTGGCAACGGGGTGTGTGGCAAGCCCGTGAACGCACAGAAGCTGAACAACGAGCGCACAGGGGCGGCATGGGACCGCAGCGATCCGAAAGGAAAAAGGCGCGCATGGATGCCTACTGGTCTGGACAATGGAAGCCTGCTTGGCTCACCCGCTATGTCGACGAGAAGAACAAAAGGATGGCCCTACTGGGGCAGTCCGGGACAGTTCAGCAGCCACGGCAGGAGGAGAAGGAGGAACCACATGCAGTGCAGCCGTCCATAAATGCTACCTCTTCCACCCCCACTGAGCTCACAGATGTTGACCCTTGGTCTGGACAGTGGCAGCAATGGGATGCTGATCAATGGGACACTGTGCCTTGGCATGACAATGGATGGTGGGGGTGGAGAGACTGGGACTATGACAACCAGCACTCCTGGACATCGACTACATCCTCGTCTACCTCTGTGGGTGATATGCAGTACTTCCCGCCGAACTATGGTCTTTTTCCGGTAGTCACGGAGGTCCCAACGATCCCAGCCGAGGTGGAGGAGACTCTCTTCATGCAGCTCACGGGGGCCGAGCGTGCTCTTCTCCAAGAAAACGGGGTTCCGTCGGAAGCCATTACGCGCGTTGAGGACCTCCTGGACCGCTTGGATGACCACAACTCCTTTGAGTCAGGACCTGAATCGCGCTGGGCTCTTCGTTGCCTGGTTCAGCGGGTTGAGGATGGAGTACAATGCCTCGAGGCGATACTGGAGGTGCTACATCGTCGACTCCGACCGCGAGGCTACCTTCCAGTACAGAGGGTGCCACGAACAGATGCCGAAAGAATGAGGTACTTCTCCTGGATCCGACAGTTCACAACTTTGTTTGCAACTTCTCTTGAACGACACCTGTCAATAGGCTTGCAAGACAGCGAAGTACTGGACTCCCCACCACCCATGTATGATCGAAGTGGCCCACCCCCTGTCCTCATGCCGGCTTCTAGCTCAGGGGATGGTCGCAATGTGGCCACAGTGGAAGACTCGGGTAGTGCCAGGATCGCTGCGTCAGATGAACTGGAACGTGAAGCAGCTTCCTCGTCTTCCAGCTCCTCGGCCAGTGTAAGAATCCGTAGCAGATCGCCTCCGCGCTGCCAGACGGAAACCAGTGCTGAAGTTTCGGCTGACCATCGCGCCCCACCGCCTGTGGACTCCGACGGGGTGACACTTAACAGTTCGACAACGGCACACCTCCAGGCTGAGACTGTGCAGAGGGCTTTGGGGGGTGAACTTCTTGGGATCTGGGCTGAGCAATCCTCTTCCTCTTTGCCCTCCACCTCGTCAACAACCTCGTCTGTCATGCCTTACACGACGTTGGAGGATGACACATGGCTCATGCAAACATGGACCTCCTCGACCACGTCGACTACTACTTCGACTTCTGTGGTTTGGCCATGTGATGTTGTACGCGATGCCATTAACAGGGAGGGGGCCCAGAGTAATCAGATCGACGTCGTCGACCTGATCTATCGTTTACATGCTCGTCGTCGCGAACTCGCTCACCGTGACCGCCTGCTGGGTGTCGCTATAGAAGAGGCACTTCACTGGCTGAGAATGCCAATGTCTGCCTCGCCTTTCAATGGTCGCATGATGGAACAACACGTCATGGAGGTCATCTCGCGTGAGGCAGCATTTGGCTCTGGGACGTCGACTACGTTGACCCACCACTATGTCGACAACCCCTCGGTGCTTCTTCAACCTGGCTTCCCTGGGACGATGGGTGAACTTGAGAGCATGCTACCCCATCATGAACCTCACACAGTGGCAGGATATAGGCGCCGTCTATGGAGGGAAGGTGTGAGCCGTGTCTATCGAGGTCTGCAGCGAGAAGACCCAGTGGGCAACTGGCCTGCTGAATATGACAGGGACCTCTATGTTCTCCAGGCCGACGAAGACGTCGCTGTTACCAACGTCGACCGTTGGCAAGTCCCAGCCCTACCACCACATGCAGCTCCTCGTGGCGGTACAAATGGTAGGAGAAGACTGTCCTCGCGTCGACCCCCTCCTCGCTTTGTACGTGAAGGTGACCTTCGTGCAAGAGTTGACCGTGGGGTGGAGATGCAACGTGGACCGGTGAGAGGCACTCCTCGGGAGCGCTCCCGAAGTCGTGATGTAAGTCCTCTGGTGGACAGTGGCAGCCGCCCGCAGTCGGGAAATGGATCCGAGGATGTTCATGCTGCCGTGTTGGTGGCCACGGAGGTGGGGTCGGGCATGGTGAGCTCTTCAACTTCGACAACGACGGCTGCTGCCTGGATGGTGCCACCTACTTCACTGACGATGGCCTGGTTGTCTGCGCCCTTGTCACTGGTGAGCGGTACATCCTCATTGACGTCCTCTTCCTCCTCGGCGTGCCCTTCGACCTCCTCCGCCTCGTCTACGCTGGACTCGGCTACGTGGAACTCAGCTGTTGAACAGGTGACGGGCATGACAGTGTCTCTGGTCCCTGGTGTGGAGTCGTCTGTGCCTCGCCCGCTGGATGTCTCCACGGCCTCTACTACGACGACCTCTACTATGGTGATCTTGTTGCCCCATGGCTCGTTGTTCTCGATGGAGATGAACCCTGACAGCCCAAAGGCAGTGAGTCCAGAGGAGTGAGGTGAGTTGACTCTGTAGTGTGGCAAGTGTGCAGGAGGGTTTTCTGTGACTTGAGTTTAGGTGAATGCCCAAAGAGTCTGTGAAGGACAGAAGAGCGAGATGCAGTCGTGCATTCTGATATGTTGTCTGCCGACTCGGCTCTGTATATGTATGCTGGAGACGAGTGAGTTCTTTAGTGTAGGCCCGAAATGGGCGAGTCTCGTGGCGGATGGAGAAAGAGGCTATTGCACTTTAAAAAAAAAAACCCAAAACCCAAAACCCTAAATGCTTCAAGGAAGGGCGTTTATGAACCATGGGTCGACAAGGATTCATAACCCCCAAGCCGAATCCAATCACACCTAAAACCCTAAACTTTGGACATGGCACAGCTGTACCTTTTAAAGGAACACATCATGGCCCTCAACCCTAAACCCCAAACATCTAGAACCCATAAATGCGTTTCACACCCTAAACCCCAAAACCCTAAACCCTAAATCCCTAAGGCCCTAAACTTCAAAGCCCTAAAGCCCCAAACCCTAAACCCTAAAGTCCCTAACCCTAAACCCTAAACCTGTAGAACTCATACGTGCGTTTCATAAAACAATTGCAGGAGCTGGCGGCTTACCGCCTCTCGCAGCAGGCGATGTCCCAGGAGGAAAGGGCAAGGCGCGGCTCTAAAACCCCTAAACCACCCCTAAACCCAAAACCTTAAACCCTACTTGGTGTGCTTGCGTTACCATGATAAAGAAACCCTATTGTTTACTGTAGATCCCGACTATGGTATCTTAAATTACATTCCTGAACAAGAACCCAGTATGGCTCCCTAAACCCTAAACCCTTAGGGTTCTTCAAGGGATGTTGAAGGGATTCTTACGGGGCCTTTAAAGGCTCTCGGGTTGTCAGTAGGGTTTGGGGTTTGGAGTTCAGGGCTTGAGGGGTTTAGGGTTTTGTTTTCTTGGGCTGGATGCTTCCTTTTTTGGATGTTCGGGCACATCTCAGAGTTTCGGCTTATTGGTACAAGTTGTCTGTCCTCGGATTAAACTAGTTAACTAGTTCTTTGAAAAACCGCAACAAGAGTTTAAAGAACCTAAGAACCGAATAAAACACACAACATATTCACAACCAACAAAATATATAAACCTCACAGCCCAAACTTGAAACATTCCCCCTCTTATAAATTCCTCCCTAAACCCTAAACCCTAAACCCTAAACCCTAAACCCTAAGGTGGAGCTCCGTTCTGTGCACCCGGGAAGTGGGACCCGGCGGGGAGGTCCTCAGCGTTGTCCCTTGGCTGCAGGAAGCCTTCTCTTTGGGTTTGATACCGTAAGGGGCTTTTTGTATGGTTTGGGGTTTGGGGCTTGGGGTTTTTTGGTGTCTTCGGGGCTTTTTGCATTGGGTTTTATACTGTTGATGGACAAAATTCTGCATGACCCAAAATATAGTATCGTACCATACATCCCATAGTTTAGGTACATAGGGTCATGCAGGATTTTGTCCATTAGCCGCAGTTTTTTTTTGTAGGGTTTGGGGTTTGGGGCTTGGGTTTTTTTTGGTGTCTTCGGGAGTGGATAACCTGGAACTCAGAATCAGCAAGCTTGTGAGTGCTAGTCTTGTTTTGTCACCGTCGATCTTTGCACCCAACAGTTTGCTATAGGGGTTCGTGTTAACTTGAAAGGCAATATCGACGTTGCGTTTCCAATGCCGGGATTTCAGACGCTTGTCGCCGCTGCTGTCTCCTGTCGGCGACTAAACCCTCAACCCAAGGCTTGTATCCTGAAGCCTATATAACCCTGAAGCCATACAGCCCCCTAAACCTTAAATCGTAACCTTTTAAACCCTAAATCCTAAACCCTAACCCTGAATCCTAAACCCTAAACCCTTAAACCCTAAACCCTAAACCCTAAACCCTAAACCCTAAACCCTAAACCCTAAACCCTTAGACCCTAAATCCTAAACCCTAAGCCCGCACACCCTAAGCCCGTTAGGTCGTCCTTCCTCTCTGCCCGGTCCTCCCTGGCCTCACAACCGGACGTGGAGGACCTCGTGGAGTTCCGGCAGCAGTTGGCTTAGGGTTTAGGGTTTAGGATTTAGGGTTTAGGGTTTAGGTTAGGGTTCAGGGCTTCAGAGGGCTTGAAGGTTTCGGGGTTCCGGCTTGAGGCCTGTTTTGTCTTTGCCACTTTGGGCCTAGGGTTTGAGGCTTCGGACTATGATGATGATCATCAACGATGACGATGATGGTACACCCATCCATCCATCCCTCCGTCCGTCCATCCATCCATCCATCCACCCATCCAGTCATCCATCCGTCCGGCCATCCATCCGTCCTTCCATCCATCTGTCATCTATTTTCCACCGCCATTCTCACCACCCTCAGCGTTTCGTGAACGTCACAGTGAGGCCATGCAGCGCAGCATGCGCCGCGGTATCCGCAGCAGCCTTAGCAGCAGGTGGGCGCAATCGCGCCTTCTGGTAGCCTACGTTTTGTATCCTCGAAGATGAACCTTGGGGTTTGGGTCTGGGGTACGTGGTGTTGAGGAGCCGTATATTACCCTACCCCTAAACCACCTTCCTGCTTGATCAAATTGATCAAACACGCCATGGGAGGGACCCTATGCGGCGAGGTTCTGGGAGGTACCTATAGTCTCCATTGTAGTTCCTTTTTTATTTTAACCAATTCTATATTTAGGATCCTATAAGGTAACCCCAAAAAGGAACTACAATGGAGACTATAGGTATGTGTGTGTGTGTCGGCATAATTCAGGTGTTTCTGTGCAGTTTAGGAATTTGGGGCTTAGGGGTTTAGGGTTTAGGGTTTAGGGTTTAGGGCTGTGGCGTGCACTCATTCGCGTGAGTCCCGAAGCTGCTTGTCCGGCAGTAGTCATCGCGTTTTGGAGTTCAGAAAACCAGAAGGGGGTTTGGGGGTTTACAGCTTAGCCCTTACCATCAAAATAGCCCAAAAGCCTTATATAATAGGGTCTTTGGACCCAAAGGCCTGAAAACATGAGTCTTTTGATGGTAAGGGTAGGGGTTTAGGATTTCTGGGGTTCCGGGGTAGGGACTCGATGGTTCAAAGTCGAAAATGGGGGAATGGGCTTAGAGGGACTGTCTATACTGGACTTGAAGACACTGTCATAGGGACCCATTCATTCCCCCATCCCCTATGAACTACGAGGGGGTACAGTTGCCTTTAATCCGTCTTGGCCTCATTCTTTTTTGGGCGTTCTGTCCTGGATGCTGGAGTACTGGCGATTGCTAACAACTCGCTTTCCATCGTCCGCATCGAAAACGGCCAGAGGCTGAACCTGACACGGCTTAGGGTTTGTATAGGTTGCTGGTGAGGGTTAAACCTTGGACCTTATAGTAAGTTCTTTTGCATGACCGTGTCGCCGTAGTACTACTCTTCTTGCACCTAAACCTGAACCCCTACACCCCAAGTCTTGCTGAGGCCGGGAATACTGCCTTGGAGGCCGGCTATGACTCGGGGGCCCCACCGTGGCTGCTAGGACCACTAAGATCATCTATGATTCTTCTCCTAAGCCGAACCACTCTTTGTTCAACCTTATAAGGCAAGCAACAGCAATAGGGTAGTTCTCTAAATTAGGGTCCCTTTTTGGGTCCCCAATATAGTACGGCACCCTTATAAAAAGGATCCCCCAAAAGGGACCCTACTTTAGAGAATTATCCAATAACAGACCAAAGCTGCCCTCAGTAGCCCTGACTCACCCCTGCCCCTCCTTCCATGCCTTCGCGGTTTAGAGTTGAGGCTTCAGGTTTCACCCTAACCCTCCAGGTACCTATCGGGTTTAGGGTTTAGGGTTGAGGGTTGGTATAAAGGGCCCTAGAACCTCTAGCACCCTATATCGTAGGTACCTGG